TAATTTAGAAGTTTTTATTGCATAGCCATTATGGTTTGTCAAAACTCTTCATCTGCTTGCAGTGACCTGTGCACATTCTTCGGTAGTAGGTCCTTTTTGTTCCAGGTTGGGCCCCAAGAGTTTGCAGGGTCATTCAAGATTTCCAAACTGGGGACTTTTCCACTTGTAGCTGGAAGGAGAGTTGGCTGTGAAGTTTTGAGACTAAGCTACCCAATTGGCCGTTGAAACTCTTTTAATGTTTCAGGTGTCATATTGGACCTTAAAGGAAGATAAAACTCTGAGAGTTGTAATGCACAGTGACTTATATTTATTTACTTTTTTTATTTGATATGTCATTTAAAAAATAAAGCTACTTTGCAGGCCTATGATCAAAGGTTACAAATCTTGTTTGGCACTGTCAACATCTTTGCTGTGTATCAGTATATAAATTGTCTACTGTCAGTGTTATCAATTCTGTACATGTAGCAAAGCAAACATGATCTAATCAAGTGAAACAGAAAGGTCATGGTATAGATCCATTTCTCTTTAAAACAAACAAAACCTCACAATGCAGAGAACAGAAGTAAAGTGATAAGCAATTGATTGTAAGCAGTAAGTGAGGAAGGAAGAGACAGTGGGGTAGTAATTAAGATATTTGATAAACGAGGAAAAAAAACACAGGGAGCTAGATCTAAAGCAAATATTTATTTTAAATTCAGAGGTTTCAGGGGGAAAAAAAGTGGCTCTCATCATAATTGATATGACTAAAAGAAATACAGATAAATCTTCTCTAATGATCTAGGCTCCCTGTTAAGGAAGTCTTGAGCCAGTAGCAGTGCGAGACTCAGGATTGGGAAATATTCTTACTAGCTTTCCTGAGAAAGTGCTGTTATAATCCATGCAGTATGGGTAACATCTTCCCACGCTTTGTGTGACTTAAGATCTGCTGCTGTTGAAAGTGTTGCTTTCAAACCTCATCCATGTACGAGATTGTGATGGACAAGAAGTAGAAACTTCATACATATCTAAGTTCTCTCTTGGCCCCTAGTTCACCTTCACAGTGCAGTGGCTTGAGCTGCTTGACCAAAGGGGTCATGACCATACTGATTGTGTTTGGCATTGGTTAATTATGGTGGGGATGTTAAAAATCCATTTCATATCAATTTATTTTAATAATATCCACTATGCTGTGGCACTGTGAAGAATAGTTCAAGAACACTGCAAGAAACTAGGATGAGTGTTGCTTTCCAATTAGGGTTAATACTGGTTACCCTTCTGAGTCATTGATCAAACAACATGCATCTAAGTAACTGGTGTATGCTGGTTAACAGCGGGGGTGGGGGAGAACATATCTATCGAATCTGGCCGTTCAGTTCATAACTTGACCAGATTCACTGAAAGTTAGCATGAGCACACTGAGTGCCAGTTTCTTTATGCTTAGCAATCCATTGTTGGAATTTAGGCTAGTCAGCTGTTGGAATGCTTAGGAATAATACAAAGAGTAATATTTTAGCAATTCAGTGCTACTACATGTTAAATTAATTAAACACTAAGAATTGAAAACAGGTAAATCATCATAAAAGTATAGATTGTTTTAAGGTCAGCAGTATCACTCCCTTTCTGTAATACATAATTATAAACACAGTTCCTGATTGTCAACATTAATATGGTTCAAGAACTGCAGCTTCAAACTGTTTTAGATACAACCAATATTATTTTTTTGTCCATAGTGACAAAATTAACTGGTTTAAATTAATTTCTAGCCTGAATGTAAATATTTCATGTTCATTGTGGATTAGAATTTAGAATTCTTACAGTGAATCATTATTTTGCTTTTTTGTTAGTACAGGAAGAAAACAGTGAATAATGAGTTTGACTTGTAAGCAATTTCACAGGTTTTCTGCTGACCTAGTGTGGGAAAGTTGTTACATTTCTCATCACCTTGTGAAACCAAGGTAATCTGGCTATATATGCTCATTTCACTTTTTCAACCAAGAAATTGGTTTTTAATGTGTGAGCTATTGGCCCAGGGGGGAGGAAAAAAACCAGCAAGACTTCTCTACAAAGACCTTACTTGTTTTGAATGATGTCTGAGTGAATTCCGAGTTACTTAAATTTCTTACACTGTAAATCATTCTGTTCCTTAATGATAATACAGCATATATTTTCCTCCCTTAGATCATGCATTCAGTGGAAGAACTTTGTCAATTTCATGGTATGCAAAAATGTGAGAGACTGTTAGGATATAATTTAAGATATGGCTTTTGCCCAAAGGAAATTACATTCTTAATGAGTGCTATCCTGTTTCCATATCTGTCTGTAAAATTACAAGAATGTACTTTTAGAAATGTTCCTGAGTTATTGCTTCTACAGTGTATATATTTCAATGATGTTATGATTTTGGCCTCTACTGGCATTCCACAAAGTTATTTGTTACATCTGTCAACTTTGATTTCTGATGCTGCTGCTCCCATAACAAATTGACTTGGATAAAATAATGAACCCTCTGTATGGTTTGTGAGATTTACATGTTTCAAAAAAACCTGTACTGGCTTGTGTTTTGGAGCTGTGTGGTTATCTCTCTAAAAGTCAGTATGGTTGCCAGTATTTGACATACTTCCTAGAAATTATCCTAAAACTGAATTTTTCCAGTTTTGACTAGAATCAGTGTTAATATGTTTGTTTGTATACTTATTTACAATCTTCTCTCCCCTGTGCAATCAGAGGGTTGGAAAACATCTGCTGCTCCTACTCAGGTTTTTGCTCTCATCAATTTGCTAATTAAAATGTATTTGTTGAACCAAAAGATTGTTTGTTCTTATCTGTAGTCACTTCTTCATGGAAAAGTCATTACAATATATTTTCATACTGGTTATCCATCTTTTTCCAAAGATCAGTCTTTAGTGCCAATAGTGGTGAAAAAAACCAATGTCATCCATTTTGGGACTTCTGTGTGTGTCTTAGAAATCCTCTTCACCATCTTAATAACTCAAAGGTTATAAAATCAAGCAGTCTGTAATGAGGAGAAATTTCTTTGTCTGACTGGTGGTTGTTGCAATTAATCTACTCTTTGTACATGCATTATCTTAATTCTGTGCAAGATAGTATTTTTATTGCAATACAGCTTCTGCTTTGACTTTGCTCATAGTGTTTAGCTTGTACGAAATAGCTTTCTGCTGATTTGATGCTGGGTCAGAAGGAGATACAGTGAGCTTTTGCACAAAGCTGTAATTTTATGTGACCAGCTTGGCAGTTCACAGGACTTTAGATAACTTTTCATTTCTTTCAGTATCAGAGCATTCTCTCTCTATTGTTTGTTCACTGCAAATCATCTCACCTGAGACATAACAAATATATAAATTGTTTTGTGGACAAGCTCCTGAGGATCTTCCTAGCATAGTGTTACCTTGTGAATTGAATTACTTGAGTCGGGAGGATGAACATGAGGATGGAACAAAAAATCTTTTGTAATGCATGACCCGAAAAGGTAATGAACTGAGGCAATGCATTGATTGGCATTTTCTAAATTTTGAGGCTTTGATTTGGTAATATTTCTGTCTTTATATGCAGGTGTATAACTCTGTAACATGCAAAGAAAGGAGAAATATTAGAATCCTATTGGGTAAATAACTGGCTATTCAGTGAGGTCAGGAATTTACCAGCTCTATAGTGGTTCCACAGCCTCCCATCTTTTCATGTGCTACCACTAACTCCAGGTTTAAAGCACCTTTCGCATGGGGAAGTTTTTTGGAGGAAGAAAGGTGGGGACAGTTGTCAGAATGGAGTTTATTCGTTGTGTCATAACTGCCTCATGAGTTTATTGCCTCCGACATCTGTTATATAAAGTGAAATCTAGGAAGGGTCTCCTTCATTGCCTTATGCCGCGTCCTTGCATAGGTAAATTGTAAGCTGATGCTGACTGGTGTGCTTTTGTGGTAGGTGTACCCCTTCATCTCACCCAACGGAGAGTGGTGGGTGAGACCCTGCACTCTGCTGTGTAGCTTCTGAACAGAAACTCAGTAGTAAGGGAGGTGGTTGTGCTGTGTTGTGAAATGGATTGGAGAGAAGTCGCAATATTGGCACGTGTCGTAGACTTGGGCAAAAAGAGTTTTGCTACCCCCTGTGGTTGGCCATTTGAGATGGGTGAGCCCTTGGAAGCCATAGCTTGTAGGAGATGCACCTGAGGCAGCCCATGCCGGAGGGGGTAGTGAATGAAAGGTGAACAGTAGAAATGATATATAGGGGTATTCTGAAGCTACTGATGCCAGTGTCCTGGGAGACAAGGTGATGAAGAGTAGGAAAGTTATTCTGGAAACTCTGTTCTTCTGTACAAATTCTGATTGCAAATGCCTCCAGGTGCTTAGTTGCTTTGAAACCTCTTCTATATTTTTGATTTCATGTCCGCTCTTTGTTCGTGTGCGTGTTATACCCCATTCTGTTCTGCATTTCAAAATTATTTCTCAACTTCCATTAGTTGCTTTACTCTTTAACTGTGTAAATTTGCAACGTGGTAGGTGATTTGGTGATCTACTGGTGACATGTGATGTGTAAATAATTGTGGGAGGGAGCCAGCTTTTCAACTTCTATTATGCCTAGCAATTGCTGTAAATCAATAAAATATTGGGAATTAAATCCTACCTGTTAAAATTTGCTTTGCATTTCTGTAAGATCTTTTCTCACGTAGAATAAATGTCTTTAGAGAGGCTAAGGAAAAGTACAGCAGCACGTACGGGTGTTAAAATGTAATATATGTGTTCAAACACTAATCTGTTTAGATATATTTATAGATAGTTGACAGCTTTTCTTAAACCCCTATGAGCACTCTTAAAATTATGTGCAGTAAGATAAAAACTTAAGAAAAACTTTTTAGGTGAAGGCTAATGAAAAATGGGGAAGACAGTCCTTAAACTGGTAAAATGTCCATTACAAGTACTGTATATGCAAGTGGGAAACATGGTATAAGGATCTCTAGTTGATACCAAGGTTTCTAAAGCTTATAAAATATATTTGTGTTATTTCAGCTGGGAAGTTCTGAGATTCCTTCTGTCTAATCTGAGAATGTGGATCGAAGACTATCGCTTTGATGGCTTCCGATTTGATGGTGTTACGTCTATGTTGTATCACCATCATGGGATTGGTAGGTAATTTAATTGACTCTAATCCAAGCAGTCCTTTTGCAGTTGTTTTGGAGTGGAAATACGTCTCTAAAAGCTCACTGAATGCTCAAAAATTTCCAGATTTGCTTGTCGTGCTAATGTATGGCTATATCTGAAATTATGAATAAATTTGGTGCTTTATATTATATTTATATTATAATGTTTTATTTAATT